AATCAAGGGTATATCAAGTAGCTCACATCCTCTTTGGTTGGTCACGCTTTCTTCCTTTTCTTTCTCCCCTCCGCCATGACACGCACATTTCAGACTTTTCTATTTCACGCCGCCTTTTGATGACTTTTTTTTCTAGTCTGCCTCTCATGCTGCATTCAGACGTCTATAAATGGGACACTTGCTAACACAATTTCTATTTTCTCTTTCCGTTTCGGGGCTCAAATTTTGCAGTTTTAGAGATCAAGCGTTTTACAGTTTAGAGATAGTCTGCGTCCTCTTTGGAACACTAAAACTATACCAATACGAGTAGCACGAGAGAACATGAAATCCGAGGCATCGAATTATGTTGGAAGAAGAATGGACTCGATAATAAATAGTGCTCAAATAAACCATTCAATTCGTAATTGCCTGTAGTATCAGGAAGAATAAATTGTTTCATAAGTATGCAACGCTGCAAATCATCATTCACGCCTACTGTATGCAAAACATTTAAATATTAAGGAGGCGTAGTGTTTCTCATTGTTGTATATATGAGAATTTGAAAAATATATTGAATATTTGTATAAATTAATAGAAAAATAAGAGATAGTTGGTTTGGGGTTGCACATTGTTTCCCCGTTGGGTTCCCTACGACGAAGAAGGCAATATAATAATTCAACTCCATTGGTTATTGTCAGTAGTTATTTTGAGAAATGCTGCATTTGTCCTAATTTTGATGGTAGCTCTTGAAGAGCAACGACTATCTCTCAGTGTGGGAGACATTTAAGTAGTATATAAACAAATGCGTATTAAAGTTATTGGGGATGCTTTGTTTCTGCGCAATTTGTATAATAAGGAAATTTCTTTGCTAATGCTTTTATTCATAAATTTGAATCCAACCTTCGAATGATTCTGTATGCTCTATTAACTTGTGGTATATTTTGACGAGTCTTCTTGAACGTGTTTTAGCTGCCAATCCACCAACCGAACTAAAAGTCACAGATCCATCTGAAAGTACTCTTAGCTTGAGTTGGAAGTCACCAGAACCAATTAAGGATGAGATTGGTTATTTAATTTCGTATAAAAAATCGGGAGCGACGTTAGACAGTGCGATCTTAGTGATCAAGGGTCAGGCCCAAACTACTGGCAAAATACTTCAGCTCAGTAACTGCCAGGAATACAAATTAGATTTGCAATCATATAGCACTGATAGCAGATCTCCTAAAATACCAGCTACAGGGACAACTCGTGAGTAATAATTACAACTATATTTGATTATTATTTATTCGAGCATAATAATATTTGTTTTGATGTGTATTTATTATACTGGAAATATGACATGTTAATATATTGCTAAGCAGAAAAGGCTTGAATGTAAACTTGTGCTTTGATAATTATGGTACGAAGCTTGAAAATCTGTCAGTCTTTGGCCGGACAGTCTTGCATGTTAGCTGGAATATGAGAGTGAAGTTAGAAGAGTATTAAACTATACATTATGTTGAAAAAATAAGACTCATTAAATTTATCACATAAAAGATGTAATTTTCCCTTTATGCGACAGCAGTTTATTGCAATTTAGCGTCCACTTTAGAAGGGACAATATATTCAGTTAAAAATTAACTATTTACATGAATTGAAATAGATAGCGTTAACTTATAGTATTATGGGCAGCCGATGTATTTAATTTTCAGAACAAAGTACTGCTTTTCATCCTTGATCAATGGTAAGCGTATTTGGGAGAAAACGAATTTGAGTGTATGATATTGAGGGCAAAGTTCATATAAGGTTCAGATTTTTTCAAAATATTTGTAGCATCAATTTTGGGGATTTTTCAAGCGGTAGCATAATTTCACGAACATTATCATGAATAGTTGCCTTATTTAATAAGAAATCATTTTATATAAAAATGTAATACACGCATCTTGCCATTCTACTAGTCATCGGCAAAGTCAAATCATTCACTGTGGAAGCAACAACCCCTGATACAGGAATTTTGAAGGTTTCTTGGATCGCTGATAAGCCGACTACATGTTCGTACCAAACTAAAGTCAAACTGAATGGCCCCATGTTGGATGTAGTAACTATACTGCCCTCCACAGTACAAGGTAGGTGATTTTATAAATGAATATTTTTATACCAATTCTTATGCCCTTCATTATAAACTTCATAGACAAGTTTTTAATTTATTAAAATTATTTAAACGATTATTATCTTGACATTAGGAATAGATATGGGTGTACATACAGCTCATTCGTTTGTCTGTGAACATAATAATTATACAGAATGTTGATACAGACGAAGATGTTATTAGTGATCAAAATTAACGCGTGAGAGAAAGCGAGCACTTACAATATTCCTTAGAGCCTGTTTAATATTTTTTATAGGATATACTACGAATATTTATCCACTACCCCAAATATTTAATTTACTTTGCTTGCTCTGCTAGTATGTCGATGAGAATATTATATTTTACAATTTTGCATATTTAGTATTCGGGTTATTTTTTGTAAGGAAAGATTAGAAATCAATTAATAATCAACCTACGTGAAGGCTAATCAAATTTAGTATATTTTGATTATTACCTCAATAATAAATTCAGAATTAAATGAATTCACCTTATCTATCGTGAAGAATCATTTTGCAAATATAAACTTTCTCACTAAATACTATACACACATTTGCACATTTTAGAAGTGAGTGTTGCTGCTCTGGGTTCAGACCTCAGGTTTGCTGTGACAATTACTTTGTTTAATATTGCTCATACGGGAATTGAGAGTGAAGAAAAAGTAATAAGGACGCTGAAATATGATGCC